GCGAGTGAGGAGGAAACCAAAACAGGGCCGGATAATTTAATGTCCCCAATGCAGATAGTGGCGCGGATTTGGCCAATAATGCCCAGAGAGCCCCCGTTAGCGGCATAGCACGGCACGTCAACAGGGAGCAAGGGACGACTTTGAACGGGAAGGATGTTATAAATTAAATCAGATATAATGGTCGCCGATGCCCCTGTGTCAATTAAAATCCGCACCTCTACCCCATCAATGTGACCGACCACGACCGATGATCCCGCCGACGCAGCAACGACACGATGGGCGAGCTCCGACCACTGACCCGGTTGGAGCGCTCGCCGCATTACCGAACAATCGCGCGCGACGGACGGGGAATTTGGAGCCCTGTTTAGTTGAGCGCGTGAGTGTGTGTCGGATGTGTGCGTGGGCCAAACGTGTGAGGTGCCGCGACTCGCCGTATTTCTCTGCTGGAGCTTGGGAGGAGACGGCGTGGCGTCCTGACGAGGTGTCGCCCCGCGCTGACGGGGAGCCCGGCATCCAGACGCAACGTGGCCTTGCAGGCCACAGTTGTAGCAGCGTGTGAGCGCCCCAGATGACCTGGGCTGCTCCTGGCGGCTCGGTCCATTCCGAGCCTGCGGTGCCGCCGATCTCCATTCCCCTCGCCGCTCCACCCCGCAGACCTCCTCCGATGGGAGGGCGGTGGTCGCCATGGCATGGCCGGCCGCCCCCTTTGCCGCCTTCCGACGCAGGGACCGCAAGCCCCCGTGGATGTGGCGCGCGACCAGCAGGGACGACATCTCCGCGTCGTCCTGAGCCAGGACGTTGACGTCCAGCTCGTCAGCGAGTAGCAGCAGCTTCTCAGCCACCATGGCATCCACTCCTTCCTCGTCCATCCTTGGGAAAGCAGCCTTTGCCAGAGCCAGGAGAGCCGTCCGGAAGGCCAGGGGTGACTCGTTGGCGCCCCGACTCCGATCGTGGAACAGCTGCCTGCAGTCCGAAGGCGGCCCATAGACGGCTGACAGCAGCTGCAACGCCAGGTGTAGAGTGGCGCGCTTTTCCCTCGGCGCCGAGGTGAGGGTAGCCAGGGCGTCGTTGTCCAGCATCGCTGGCAGCGCGCGTAGAGCCTCGGCGTCCGACCAGTTCGCCATCTCTTGATGAGCGATGAACCGCCTCTTGAAGCCGCCCCAGTCTCCGTCAGCGCCGACAAATTCTTTAAGAGGCGGCAGACGCTGTTGTAAGGCGGCGTCCGTGGCCGCAGAACGCTCTCCGTCGCTCCCCGCCGATGATACAGTGTGGGCGGGCCGTGCACATGGCATCGCCGGTCGCTCTGATGTTGACGCGCCGGCCGGCGTTGATGATGTCACGGCTTGTGCTTGGCGCTCAGCAGACACGTGACGCGGGCCGGCCCCGCCCTCCGCTCGTACTGTAGAGATGGCGGGAAATTTGACCGCGAGCCGCGTCGGGGTGGCGGGAAACGTCGCCCCGCGCCGGCTGCCGTCGTCGACCCGCGCTGCTCCTCCAGCCCCCAGCCGCGTGATCTCCTCCAACGCGGCGGCCGCGGCGTAGAGCAGGTCCGCCAGGCGGGAGTGGGCCAGCCGGAGTCCTTCGGCCGACGCATCCCCCTCCTCCTGTCGTAGCGGCGCGGGCGTACTCGGCCCCGGCTGCTCCGATTCGACCCCGGCCATCACTGGTGGAGATTCGGCCGCGGCGTCTTCCATCTCCGACTCCCTGGTACGTGTCGTCCCTCGTGTGTCCATCGTTGGACGTTTACTTCTGACCCCAGATGTAGTAAGTATATATGGAGGCTTGACGACAGGATCGGAGGCACACTTATTTATTACACCAACACAGTTGTACAGGTCACTTGGCTACAGGGATTTCTCGACAGCTAACCCCTCTAACTTATACCAACTCCTCCACTACGGGACTAGGGGAGGCTATCTGTCCCAGCTTGGTTAAGCTGGGATCCCGGCTCCCTGAGTCACCAGACCAGCTTCGTCTGGGCTCTCGGGGCCACGCCACCGGCTTGCCCTGGTCGGCCCTTAGAAGGACAGCGAGCCAGGGGAGCTCCGGGGCCTATACTAGCAGGTCTTCGTTCTTCTCTGGTTAAAGCTGAGTCCCCACTCCCGAGCCTTTCGGCTCATCCCCTTTTATAGGACTTGCCCCCAAGGGGGGGCCCGTGGGGGATGTACATGCGGACGTCGGTGCGAGCGCCACCCCTGTGTACGGCCGTAACCCCGCCCTTTGTGTTTGTTGGCCATCCGTGGCCATGCATAATCACACGACACCTTTCGTAGCCATGCGCAATTACACCTCTACACCTATATTGTAAATCAAAATTCGAGTGCAAAACCAAATTCACGTATTCGTGATGGCGGGGCTGAGAACCCGCAAACACGGTGAGCGTGAGACCCGAATCACGCGCACACACAGAGGGTGCACGCGCCGGTCAATCCCAGGATCTCGGCAGCCGCTTGGTTCCACAGCTGTGACCTCGATGCGCCCAAGCCTCTTGGGGGAGGAGGCAAGTTTTAAACACGAGTTTCGAGCGCAGTTAAAGTAAACACGTCCGGAACTTCAAAGTCTATACGAGTTACTCGCACATGCGCGGTGTCGGATTCCTAACTTGAGGCGGGGAGAACAAATGTAAAGCATCCTGAAGGATGATCGCATTACACGATGTAACACAATTTTTGTGCCTGGGTAGTATAAGTGTTATTTCGTAAATGCTTATGCCTAAAAAGTATAGAAAATGGCTGTTATTCCCCACAAACTTTGCTTTTGTGACCAGGACAGTGATATTTAGAAATGTACCTATTTTCAATGGGAAAACTGGCGAATTTGTGTCTTTTCGTTCACATAAAGTCAGAAAAAAAACATATTAATCAAAATTCACATTTATAAAATTATCTGGACAAAATAGCAGAAATTACTTTAGGGATATCCTTCCCACCGCAGAGTTTGTATGCTCGCTAACATCACTTGCCCCAACAGTCTGTTAAGGCTACACGGGGGATATTTGTCTTTTGCCTTTGTATGTATGTATATGTGTGTGCGAGCACACTCACCGAGGTGTTCGTTCACAGCACTTGCCCCAACAGTCTATTGAGGCTACACGGGGGACCTTTGCATGTGTTTGTACACGCACCACTCAGTGTATAAGGGAGCGTGGTTAGCCTCGGAGTGAGCTGGGTACACGCGCGAGTGATGTAACAGTGGGAACGTCTGAATGGACATTTCTGCGAGACACTAAGTTCTGGGTTTCTTTTGAGTTATTGTCCTGTGAAGGATAGAGGGCAGCTGGAGGCTGCCATCGGAGTCTGAATTGTTGTAGGAGTAAAAGAAAATCAATGCTCGCGAGGGAATTCGTAGCCGGTTAAACTTTTAATTCTCTGAGTTGTTGCCGACTGCTTGAATTGGCCTCTTCACTAAGTGTCGAGATGGACTGTGAGAGATTTATAAAAAAATAATTCGCTGTGAGGGTAAAACCATCACCAGAACTGCAGGAGTAAGAGCACATGCATTGATTGGTCTGTTGAATCTTTTCAGAGTTAATCACTGCAGAGTCATTTGCTTTTTGTTCGGCTTTGTATGCCGCTCACATTTCAAAAATTATATTAAATTTGACAGCTGCTATTTCCTGCAATTCTGCCTCGATAATTTTTGAAACTTCCAGGAGCGAAATTGTGCACTGACAAAAAAAATAGCCGCGTTCCTCCCCCTCCCGCCATGCAGTCGCTTCCCAAGCGTGGTGCTTTAATCTGTACTTGATGATAAAACACAACAACAAACAACAACAAACAAACAATAACAATAACAAACAACAACAATAACAACAACAATAACAACAACAATGTCTGTACACACTTCCGTGCCGTGGTGTTGGAAACTCATGGTTTTCCATCGTGCACTGTTACTGAGCCCATTTGCAGATGCGATTTTTTAAAATTATATTCATTTTAGCGAATGCTTTACGCGTGACTTTCACACAGTTAGAGCCACCAGATCCACAAGGCGCTGATGCAATATTCAAGTAGTGACACATCTCTGTAGTGAACCTCTACAGTGCAGTATGCGGCCTGGAAGTAAAATCAAAACAAAAACATCGTTAACGTACAATTTGTAATGTTGCGAGGATATCGCGATAATCGTCATATCGTGATCGTGAATATCGTATAATTTATATCGTATCCTATAGTTTGTGTTTCTATCGTGTTTTATTGTTTATTGTCGTAACGTTCTGACCTGCCCCCCTTTACTGGACACCTGTGAAATAATTATGGCTCATCAGATTCCTCCTGCAGCAAGAATAAATATTCTCATTTGATATCAAAACTGACAGTTTTGTTGCCAGATAGAAGGGTAAAGAACCAATTATCATATTTTTACTGGCAAATGAGGTCCCCATAGTGATCATGGGACTTGTTGCCAATATCAAAGTATGAAAAATAAGAAAAGCTCTTACTCTATCTGGCAATAATACAGGCGGTGTAAAGATTTTTAAACACCAAATAAAAAAAACTTTTGCAAGGAATCGTTTCTGCATTAACTTGTGGTGAACATGTCAAACAAACATCCTCTGATAATGATTATTTAAGCATTGCCTTTGAAACGTATTGGCCGACATCAGAGAGAGAGAGCAGCCTTATTTCGAAGCCCTTCTTTAGAAGGCTGTCTCCGGCACCTATTTGGGTATCTATGTAGTGTTTGATCATCTTAACACCACCTCTCGTAAGAAGAAAAGTAAGAAGAGAGCTAAAGCTAAAGCCCTCTTCTTATTTTTCATATATTTTTTTCATATTCTCGTTTGATTCTGCGTCTTCGTGGGATTGTGACGCTACTGATGATGCTGATGATGACGTCGATGGTGATTTTTTTGGGGCCGCAACCCCATTGGTCGGGGAACCGCTAGATGCACCGCCTACCGTGCCGTGACCACGCCCCCCAAGTCTATATAAGGCGGCGCGTGGGGGGGGGGTGACCACTCCGAGTGCGTCTCGCTGTGCGCTCGGTGAGTTACGTGATGTTCTTTTAAATTGTTATATTTTTTAAACACGCATAAAAAATATATTACGATGTTATTGTTCATTTGGCTGAGTGGTTGGTGCTCGTCGCGCGTAAATAATCGCGGGTTTTAAACAAATGAAATGTCTCACTGGCGGGTGGTGGTTATCATCACCCTCGGAAGGGCGATAAAATATGTACCGCGTTGTAGAAAGTGTACAGGAGAGTTGTGCTGTATCATGTGGGAGAACCGACCCACGCTATAAGAACCCTGGAATGTATACCGCTGGCGGCAGGGGCTGTCCAACGCTCGTATTTGAACGGGCAATTGTAATTGATGTGGATATGAACATTAATCCGTGTATGGTTTAAAAACAAATTAGAAATGAAGGTGGTCGTTATTACAATGCTCTAATAGTACAGTACTTGCAGACGTGCAATATCGACACGAACACTGTGTAAGGTACCCTGAAGCCCACCATTCCGCCACGAGTCAAACATTGAAAGCATCCCAGCGGCACTCAATTGGGTTCTAGAGGGCGCATATTCTCGACCTGGCAACACGATTGTGCGGCTTACTTTTATCAGCCACTTGTGTCACTGCAAGGGCTTCTTGTGGTCACGCAGTTGGTGAGTGAAGACCCAAAACGTCAAGCAGCAGCACTGTCGATGTTGATCACGGTGCATCGTTAAGACCGAGGTAGGTATGTGTGTGTGAATATATTGAAGCTGCTGTATTTGAAAGTGCTGTTAAATGAAATACAAAGTTTGTGTAAGGCAGGTGCACCAAGGAAGGTGTGTGATCGTACATTTGCTTTCCGATTTAAAGTTAAACAACATGCAAATACATTTCGATTTAAAGCTTTCGTGACTGCAGGGATTTATATTCTTGGTTCTTTCGGTAAAGTCACGTAGAAGGGAAATAATAAACTAATAAAAATAAAACCAGTAAATTCTCACGACGTTTCGTTTGCAACACAAGCAATCATCATCAGGTGTGAAAACCACAGCTAGAATTTTTTTAAAAAACCGCCACTTTTTTCAAAAAAATTATTGCTGTGGTTTTCACACCTGATGATGATTGCTTGTGTTGCAATCGAAACGTCGTTAGAATTGTATTGTTTTATTTTTATTATATTATTATTTCCCTTCTACATGACTTTACCGAAAGAACCAAGAATATGAACATGCAAATAAAGCACGCCGTTCAAGTGCATATTTAGTCAAGAGCGGAGCCACAGGAACGGTTCAGACAACGCTCGCCACCGATATTCGCCGTGTGCCGGGAATCGAACTCGGATTTCCGGGACTCAGGGGGGCAGGGTGTGCTCGCTCCTCTGCCACCACTCCAGCCCTAACTCGGTACCGTTTAATCGACGTGAAGGGAAACCTTCACAGACATCTCACTCCAGGGTGTAATACTGTGCGCGAGTGAATAATTACAGTTCGAAAGGAATGCAAACAAACAAGACGAAGAGCGCGCATTTCATTAAATAGCATTCCTTTAGAAGGAATACAAAACTCCAAATATTGATTGTGCGTAAAACATCGTGGGCACCCTACGGCCGAATGGACGTTTGCCAATGCGCGCATCATTTCTCTCCCGTGCAAATCGTGCCTCGCGCGCTTATTGCGCTGTAATCAACGTTCACGTCGCTTTCCTCTTTGTGCTTGAGCAGGCCGACTCCCGCAGGAAGTCACGCCATGGAGAGTTCGAGCTTACACGACGAGTACGCCCTCCTCTCCGCCCCTCGGCTCACGCTCTCATTATTGGCGCTCGGCCTGCTGCTCGCGGTCGCTTTAGTCCGACGCCGGCGCTCCGCGCATCGGCGCCACGGCGACGCGAGGCCCCTCCCGGGCCCCATCTGCTGGCCCATCGTCGGCAACATCCTCCAGCTGTGGCCCAACCCCCACCTCAAACTCACCAGGATGCACGATCGCTACGGGGACGTGTTCCGCGTTCACCTCGGCTCCGTCCCCGTGGTGGTCCTCAGCGGTCTGGAGACGATCAAGCGGGCGCTGGTGAAGAACGGCGACGCGTTCGCGGGGCGGCCGCCGTTCTACTCGCTGAGCTTGGTCGGTAACGGAGACACGCTGACGTTCACCCGCGCGTACGACGGCTGCTGGAGGGCGCACAAGAGGCTGGCGCGGAGCGCCCTGCGGAACTTCTGCGCCGCGCCGGCACGCGCCGCGGGCTACGCGTGCCTGCTGGAGGAGCACGTATGCGAGGAGGCCGAACGGCTGCTGCTCGCTTGCAAGGGCGGCGGAGCGCAGCCCGGCGGCTTCGACCCCGTGCCCTCCATCACGTGCGCCGTGGCCAACGTGATGTGCGCGCTCGTGTTCGGGAAGCGCTACCCGCACGGGGACCCGAAGTTCCTGCAGATCGTGGGGTTCAACGAAGAGGCGTCGCAGCTGTCGGGCGCCGGGAACCTCGTGGATTTCTTCCCGGTCTTGCGTCACGTGCCGAATGCTCAGCTAAGGGCACTCAAAGTCCTCTCCGCCCGGCTCTTGGCTTTCATGGAAGGCCACATCAAGGAACACTACCACTCCTACCAAGAGGTGCGGTGATGCCAATGGTTTTGTTTTAATTTAGAAATTAATAGCAATCGCTCTCTGATGTGTTTTCGGGTTTTACTGCGCGCCGTTTGACATGATGCCCGACGTTTTGCTCCACGTGCTGTCGTAACCGTCGTCAGGCTATAAAGGATGACCAATGCCAATAGCCGCCATTCGACACTGAGTTACCACGGCGCCTGTGCCAGGCCAGGTGCACTTTGAGGCCACGTGAAGAGGATGACCACCACCACCATCATCACCACAACCACCACCACAATAACCACCCTAACTAGCACCTCTACCATCACGATCACAATCACCACCTGGCCACCACAACTATTCCCACCACAATCATGGCTCGCAGCAGCACCACCACAACGATCATGACCTCCACTTGCATGACCACCAGAACCAGACTCCGATGCTATTGCGCAGTAGACCCCTTCCCCTCGTCTCTGTCACATTCCTCTCGCGGCCGTCCTCCATCGCTGTTCTACCCACGGCCCGTGTCCTGCTACCCCCCCCCCCCGTCCCGTCCCGACGTTGAATGTTTGAATGTGAACGCCGTTGCAAGTCGGTGTGACGTCGCGCTGCGTGCAGGGCCACGTGCGCGACATCACGGACGCGCTCATCGCCATGTGCGCCGAGCAGGAGGACGCGCTGCGCGAGGTGGGCCTCAGCGACGAGCGCGTCGTCGCCACGGCGCTCGACATTTTCGGTGCCGGTGAGCAGTGCACCACGTTGTGGTCGCTCGGTTCACCCGCGAAAGCCTCGCTTGAGGCTCAAGATTTTTGTTTCCGGGAGGGTTCCAGCCAAGTATTTATTTTTTGTGCAGTAGGGGACCGACGCTGCCTCTGCTGCTGATGTGCGATCCCAACTGAGAAATTTCAGCAGCGTTTGGCCAACACCAGCTCCGTAGTTTTTTTGTTAATACCTATGGGAGGGCATCTGACGTATGTGAGTGTGGCCAATGTGCGTGCGTGTGTGTGGCGTACGTCGTGCGTGCATGTCCATAACATCTTCCGCTAATTGTAATCGGCTGCTCCGTGATCGATTACTCGGGGCCCTTTAAAAATGCTGCCACCCCCTCCCCTCCCACACGCGCCGCTGCCTCGCGTAGGCAGGAAACCCCTTACCAGCCACGCCTGGCGTGACGCGGGCAGTGATGCCGATGACGTCACCAAGCCCCGCCCGTCACCTCCCGTCCAGCGGCACACGTAGGAACGGAGGCGAGATTGGTGTTTCTTCTCTCTTCCCAAACCGTGGTCGAAGAATTTACGCGGTAATTGCTAGAGTAATCGATTACTTGCCTAATTTGATTTCCCATGTCGAGTTTGGTGTATCTGGCCGAAGGTAGCCTGTTCCAGTAACTCCAGAGCGAGCGGTGCTTGGGCTGGGAGCACGTGAGGCAGAGGTCGCAAACGGGTTTTGATTCCTTGATTCCTTACCCGTACCCGGCCGCACCAGGGTCGCAAACGGGTACACGTACCCGTACCCGGCCGTACCCGTACCTTACCCGTACCCGACCGGGTACGGGTAGGGTACGGGTATCGGGTACCCGGTTGCGACCTCTGACGTGAGGCACGCGGCAGGAGATGGGAATGTAAGAAAACGCACCCGGCTCCTCGTAGCAACTACAGCAACGCGTAGCAGAGCGCACAATCGTACGTGCGATTCATCGCAGGTAGGCTCACGCCGGCCATGGGCAGTAAAGGTGTAGAGCACATGGGGCAGCGGCCGCGGCCGCTTCCGTCCGGCCATCGTCACCCCCGGACAGCCAACGGTGAGCTCGGTTCCCTGTGCGCTCCACGCAGGCTTCGACACGATCATCACCGGCTTGACGTGGTGCCTTCTGTACCTCTGCATCCATCCCGACGTCCAGGACAAGCTGCAGCGAGAGATCGGTGAGGTGCCAGGCTTCCGCTCGTGACAAATGCGGAATTCCCGATCGTGATACGACTGATGATGATAATGATGCCGTAGTAACTTTGGCGACCGCAATGTCACTCTTGACGATACGAGGCCTTGTAAAACTTCACAATATGACTTCATATCGTTGTATCAGTTTGCAATACGTAATACACGTTTTTTTTATTGTAGTCTCTTTGCGCTTTGCTGTGCTTCCAGTATAAATAAGCTCTTTAACTGCAGTTAGCTAATTAGCAATGATTTATATTTTTTATTCACGTCGTTATGTTGTTCATCGTGCGGTGTAAGGTATAACGATGTTGGTCTTGTGACATCTCTCCAAGATCGCTCAAGCCTCAAAACTAAAGTCTGACTCGAAACGTTTAAATTGCATATTTATATTTGGAAGAATATATTGGCTAATGACACGACTATATAGGGATTATGTCCTTCATATTATACTATTTTTAAGTTTAAAATTTGGCAATAACATACAAATTCTTATAAAAAGTTCAAAATAATCTGCTCTGGTAGCGCAAGCACCGAAGGACGCAATTGAACTCGAATAATAACGCAATCTCAACGTAAGTAGCTTCTCTTAAAATTCGATGTAAAGCTTTCGTGACTGCAGGGATTCATCTTCTTGGTTCTTTCGGTAAAGTCACGTAGAATGGAAATAATAAAATAATAAAAATAAAACAAAATAATTCTCACGACGTTTTGGCCACAACGCAAGCAGCCGTCCTCAGGTGGAGAACAGGTCTGTCAGACGCTGTCTTCTCGACATGAGAATTATTTTATTATGTTTTATTATTTTATTATTTCCATTATACGTGACTTTACCAAAAGAACCAAGAAGATAGCTTTTCTTATGTGCAACGTGTGCACCTTTGCAGACGAAACGATCGGCAGGGACCGCGCTCCGAGGTTCGAGGACCGCGGGAACCTGCGGCGCGTGGAGGCCTTCCTCACCGAGACGTTCCGCCACTCCGCGTTCGTCCCGTTCACCATCCCACACAGGTGCCCGGCGTTTCGCCGCCAACCCTCGGCACCTCGCCACTGGCAACGCAACGATGCCCTCCGACTCGGGGCACCCCGATTAAGGAAGTCAACCTGGTTGCATAGTGGATTTGACATATTTGTTTTATAATGGGTTTAAAAATCGCGTTGGTCGCATGCAAAGCTGCGATGGGTTTGGTTGAGCGGTTCGTCACCATTTTTTGGTCTGGTGGTCCGACCCCGGTCAAGGCCACCGCTGTGCCTCCGTTGAGCTTGCAAAGTTGGCGGTGGTTCCCAACGCTCTCTTATCGGTTTGGCCGCGGGTTCTCCGCAGTCGCGTTCCGGGTTTCCCTTGGTTTCGCGAAATTGGCGGCCGGATCTAGCGTGATGATGGGTCACGCGAATTGAGTCCCGTGGGTAGGGGAAGGTTGACTCCTGGTTCTAGATTTGAAGTTTTCGTGACTGCAAGGATTGATACTCTTAGTTTTTTCGGTAAAGTCACGTAGGTAAAAAAATGAATTAAAAATTAATAAAAATAAAATAATAAAAATCACGACGTTTCGGAGGCAACACAAGTCTCCGCCATCAGGTGGGACCGTCACAGCTAATCTGGCTGGTCTGGTGGTCCGACCCCGGTCAAGGCCAGCAAATCTGGCTGTGACGGTCCCACCTGATGACGGAGACTTGTGTTGCCTCTGAAACGTCGTGATTTTTATTATTTTATTTTTATTAATTTTCATTTCATTTTTTTACCTACGTGACTTTACCGAAAAAACTAAGAGTTTGACTGCTGGTGTTCAGGATGCCTCTGAATATCCAGATTTGTCTCAAATGCTATTTAATTCAGACCTCACCATCCAGTACGAGGAACGTAAGATGCTAACAACTGTTGGGAGTTCCCCGGTCGGCGCGACGTCATTTGCTTGTCCCGTGTTCACAGCACGACGCAGGACGTGGTGCTCAATGGCATGTTCATCCCTCGGGACACGTGCGTGTTTGTCAACCTTCACCAGGTCAACCACGACCCGTAAGCCCCACCAGAGACACACACACACCAAGGCAGCATGCCGCCACTGTATACTGCTTGCATATACATGCCACTGTCACGTGCGGGGAAATTAAATCTGTGTCACTCTTTGGTTCTTTCGGTAAAGTCACGTAGAAAGAGAAAATCATAATTCTAGATTTGAAGCTTTCGTGACTGCAAGGATTCATACTCTTCGTTTTTTCGGTAAAGTCACGTAGGTAAAAAAAAATGAAATAAAAATTAATAAAAATAAAATAATAAAAATCACGACGTTTCGGAGGCAACACAAGTTTCCGTCATCAGGTGGGACCGTCACAGCCAGATTTGTTATAGAAAATAATAATTTAAATAATATGATGTGACGTTTCGATTGCAACACAAGCAATCATCATCAGGTACAATTGAAAGAGAAAACAAACCTAGTAAAAGTTAGAAATATAACGCAATACAACACAGAGAGTCGGCTACCATAACGGTCAACTATCTGTGTTGTATTGCGTTATATTTCTAACTTTTACTAGGTTTGTTTTCTCTTTCATTTGTACCTGATGACGATTGCTTGTGTTGCAATCGAAACGACTTTACCGAAAGAACCAAAAAGTCATTCCTGCAGTCACAAAAGCGCCAAATCAAATGAGACTGTGTCGTGAGGCGGAGTACATTAATCTTGAATTGGGTGACAGATTGAACACCGAAGGAGATTGCAGTTTTTCAGAGCAGTATTTACTGAACCTCCGAGCGAAATGCAGCAAAAAGCTTCTCTCAATGACGCCCCGCAACAAAATGCGGACGTGTGTGCATCTCTGACAAGCCCAGAGTGCTGTATGCCACGAGTCCCAAGTTCGCGTCTCTCCCCGTAGACCACACCCTGACCCTCGTCTGGCGCGCTGTTCACGTGCGGTTGCTGCGTTCAGGACCGTATGGAGCGACCCCGAGCGGTTCGATCCGGACCGCTTCTTGTCGCACGACGGAAAGGAGGTGAACAAGGAGATGGTGGAGAAGGTTCAGATCTTCGGCCTGGGCAAGCGCCGCTGCCTGGGCGACGTGGTGGCGCGCCAGGAGCTCTTCGTGGTCCTCGTCACGCTGCTCCAGGGGCTGTCGTTCCGAGTGCCGCCCGGCACGCCCACACCGAGCATCACCCCGCAGCACGCCCTGGTGATGAAGCCGCCGCGCTTTCACGTGTGCGCGTCCCCGCGGGCGTGAGCCGACGCTTGCCGGTGCTGGCCGGGCGGACGCTGTGGGATTGCGAGAGCTGGCTTTTTTTGCCGGGCGATTGAACCGTTCGGGGTGTGTGCGCGGCCACAGCAACGAATGTACAATGGGGCAACGAAGTGAAAGACTGCAGGGAGTCTTGATTACAGATGTGTGTGTGCGTGTTTTTTTTGTAGAGACACACAGGCGCCCCGGTCATTGTCTTCGGGCACAACATCGCGCTCATTCCCCCCTTGTGCCAAAGTCTTGGGATCTTGCACTGCTGTGCTTGCTTGCACCGTCACGCTCCAGTGCAGAGCAGTTTAGACGATGTGTTTTTGGGCTGCTCTATTGGCTGTGGTTTTCACACCTGATGATGATTGCTTGTGTTGCAATCGAAACGTCGTGAGAATTTAATAGTTTTATTATTTTATTATTTCCCTTCTACGTGACTTTACCGAAAGAACCAAGAATATGAATCCCTGCAGTCACGAAAGCTTTCAATCGAAACAGAAGGATGTTTTCAGTTCCCTCTTCGCAATGCGCAATACGATTTTTGTGTCACTGTTGGAGAGACCACGGAGGGCACCACCTGCAGTTTGTGCAGGACACAAGTGAAATGTGAACAAGCTCAATGTTTTTCTTTTTACCAACCTCAGAATCAGAATATTTATTGATACTGGAGAAATCCAATGAGCTAAAATGCTCAAATCGGATGAGCTATGAAGCTCTTTGTCACAGATGTCAGAACATTGCAACAAACAATACAAACAACACAATAGGAGTTCATTTAATTTATTTTCATTTATTAGGTATAGCCTGTGAGCCATTCGGCTCTTGAATCGAAAGGAAAGGTAAACATTTCACTGGAAAAAAAATACAAATTAAAATAAACAACTTTTTTACCTTACCAGGAAAAGCCCACTGAGGTATGAACTTATTTTTCAGAAGCGACCTGGCCACAAATGATAGCTCAACAAAGTGGCTTATCATTGTTGAAATTATAGCAGCAAAATAATCTAAATGCATGTTTCTCACTCATGTCTAAGGCTCGTTTATCAACCTGTCATCTCCACTATAGAATGCCACCTCTTCTGTGCCACAGTGATGGACGATAATGTCCTTCCCATTGACATCCAGTGTTACCTCCATTTTATCGATATGTTGCCATATGGTGGCAATATGTTCAGGAGCTATATTCCAATGTCGAGGTCTGCCAGCCACGAGAGGACTTCAGGAGAAAATTCGTGTAGTTTTACTGGTGAATAGTTACATTGAAATGAAAAGCTTATTTAAAGACTGAATCAGACATCAGAGTGCGGTCAAACTATCGACGATACGAGAGTGAAAATACAAACGGTGTGCACAACCATTACTCCTGATTCTCTGACAGCAGAGAGGAGTTGGGTGTTAGAGAAAGAGGAATCCGGGAACACCATACCACCTCGACCGCACCAAAGAGCGCCGGTTTCTTAACGGACCGAGACAAACGTCGATGAGTTTAACCCAAATGCGTGGCCATCAGCCACCGCCCGCGTGTTCCACACCGCCGCGTGGTGGAGAAGCCGGCTTACGGGGCGCCGACGTCTCTCGCCGTCCCTCGAGCGCTCGGCAGTCGCGCCGCGGTGCGAGCCCTCGCAACGAACGTCTCCTCCCTGGCGTTCCAGAACACCTATTGACGAAGGAGGAATCCGTTGAGCGATAAAGCTCTTTCCCCCCCTCCCCCCATGGCGTAGCTAGGATATTTTGCGCCCGGGGACGAACTATAAAATTGGCGCCCCCCCCCCCCCCCCCCCGTTTAATCACATGCCAAAATGTAATTACATGACATGTCGGCTGTGTGTGGCGGGATATATTAAAGTTTAGGTTGAGGTGTAGATTTGTGCAGTAGTTTCAGGCTGCCGCGCCCGCCGCAACAAGTTATCATGTAACGTTGTATGCCTCATTTTGGCGCCCCTTTACCTTGGCGCCCGGGGACATTTGTACCCCCCCTGCCCCCCCCCCCCCCCCCCTAGCTACGCCTCTGCTCCCCCCACAGATGCCCAGTAAGTGTTCACGGATGTTCCCTCACGAGGGAAGGGGGCTCTGCCTCCCTGCGTCCTCGCGCTGCAACACACACGCACATCGCCGTCCTAGGCCAACTCCTCCGCCCCGTGGTCCGAGGTCGCCACTTGGACCACCGCTCCCTGCGCCTGCCCTCATGCCCTCCACGCTGGTGCCCCGGTGATCACCACCTTTTTTCTCGCGTGGGTCTCCGCTCTTCTTGCGCGGCGTTCTATCCATCCGAGTTGACTTCTTTTTTTTCCCCTCCTTTCCAGCTTGTCAGAGATGGGTGACACTCTTGCCTTCTTCCTTGACGCTTCATCTCTGACCCGATCCAGTTTCGATGTTTACATCGCATGATGATGAGGGATGGCGACAGCTTGGGAAGTCATCATTTCTGACGACGAAATCCTGTTTCTGTATATACTCTATATAGACACCTGTCAACCCCTTATCAGTGCCTACCTTATGACAGACCAAGTCAGACTTTATTGGTCACCCCGTGGCCTTATAAATCTCAACGTTCATCCTACAACATCACAAGGGATACACACAAACATTTAGACACATTTTTAGATAGAGTAGAGTAGTGCCTATGGGCCAGATAGAGCCTCCACTCCCCCTACCCCACACTCCCACCCTCCCTGTCTCTCCTCCCTGGCTCCCCCCCCCTTCTCTTACCTATATAGCCTCTTGTTGCAGAAGCCCTTTTGCCCACTTCAGCAATTGTTTCTTGCTGTGGTTGTCCCACCTGATGACGGACGCTTGTGTTGCGCCCGAAACGTCGTGATTTATTTTATTTTTATACCTACGTGACTACCGAAAGAACCAAAGTATGGATCCCTGCAGTCACGAAAACTTCAAATCTCGATTAAGAGTAGTGTGGTGTAGAGTGGTGTCTACGGCGCGGTCCTCTTCTGAAGCACCCCGCTGCTAATCATCTTTCCTACTTTGTGTAGCGAACTATCGAACAAAGACGGTCATTGGATCGCGCGCTTTTAGATGCGCTTCTGCAACCGTCTGGAACGCTCTTCCTTTCGATATTAGGTAGCCACTGGAGCTATGCACTTTTAAATCTAGCTTGAAAATGTATTTCTTTAGAACAGTTATTTTGTGATTCGTTTGTTGTCCGTCTCCCGCATCTCCAGTTATCACGGTTGGCTACGTACGGTGCGAAAGAAGTTAAACATACTAATTTTGTCCAGATATTGCGTGTTGTGCAGGGTTCTCAAGGAATGGGATCACTAAGTATTATTGTTATGGTTTGCTGTACAATCGCATATGCAATTACGAAACATCCCATGTATTTTTCTTTAATAAACATTCTCCGGTGATATATAATTGTATCAAATGTGTTTGTGTCATATTTACACCTACATAATTGAGCAGAGAATCACCAATGTTATCGTCAAAAGAGAAAGTTACAATGGGAAAGTGTGACGGAGTTTACAAGTGATTATTGTTTACAAGCAAGCATTGTTTATAAGCGAGCATTGCTTACAAGTGATCATTGTTTACAAGTGATCATTGTTTACAAGTGATCATTGTTTACAAGCGAGCATTGTTTACACGTCATCATTGTTTACAAGTAATCATTGTTTACAAGCGAGCATTGTTTACAAGCGAGCATTGTTTACAAACGAGCATTGTTTACAAGCGATGATTGTTAAACAAGTGATCATTGTTTACAAGCGATCATTGTTTACAAACTAGTCTTGTTTACACGCAAGCATTGTTTACAAGCAAGCATTGTTTACAAGCGAGCATTGTTTACACGCGAGCATCAATGGTTCATCGGCCTGGTGGAGTTTGGCGCCGCCTAGTGGAGGGTCAGGGCACACGCCAGGTGACATTTGCTCCGGGAGTCGAAGGACAGGTTCGGGATGATGATTTCAGCTCGGTCGCGGTCCCATGCTGCTGCTGCTGCTGTTTGTGGGAACCACTCCAGACCGTCTGCGAGTTGCACTCCCAGAAGAAGCGACACCGACTGAATGCGGCGGTGATCCACGACCTCATTTGTTCTGAGCCGCGTTGTGCGCGTAATGACAATAGAGCCTGCATGGGACCGTCCATAAATGACGTCACGCGATTTTGGACGATTTTTCACTCCCCCCCTCGTCACACGGCGTCACAAAAAGTCAGACCCCCCCCCCTAAAATATGACGTCACAAAGCTCTGCTCTCCCCCCCCCCCGCCCCAAAAAAAAAACAATATTTCCATTTTGAAAATAAAGCATGCTTCGAATCGCGTTAAACTATTGTCATTGTAGTGCGTGTTTAATGTGGCGCTGCACTCTGATGTTGTAGGAGAAAACATTTATTATAAAATATATTTACTTAAGTAGAACGTGTTGTCTATATTTAAAGTTGCGCATTTTGATGTGACGTCACATTTCTCAACCCCCCCCCCCCCTCGTCACACATCGTCACAAATGTCTGACCCCCCCCCCCCCACTAGGTGCGTGACGTCATTTATGGACGGCCCCCATGCGGTGAGAGTGGACTAGTGGCCAGGGGTATAACAATAGATGTTACCCTTTCCAGCAATACAGCAGGTGTCAAGACGTTAAAACACCAAACAGAATCCTTATTCAAGGAATCGTGTCCGCTTTAATCACACTTGAGGATGATTGCTTGTGTTGCAGTCGAAACGTCGTGAGAATTTTATTGTTTTTATATTTTTTTAATTTTATTTTTTCCCTTCTACGTGACTTTACCGAAAGAACCAAGAATATGAATCTCTGCAGTCACGAAAGCTTTAAATCAAAATGTATAAGCATTGTATTTGAAGCTTGATTGGTCAACAACAGAGACAACATCTTGACACCTGTTTTATTGACAGAACGGTTAAAATCAATTCTATTTTAATACTGGCAGTAAAGGTCCCATATTTGAATGACAGGGGGTATCAGTTGTGAGTGCGAAGTGACTGGTGGCTACGGGAATGATCGAGAAGGGAGCGTGGTCAGGCGACGGAAGAGGACGATGGAGTCTGCCGGTGGAGCGAGCGTCCAGAGTCGGCGAGAATGATCGAGAAGGGGGGCGTGGCCTCGTGTCGGTATAAAAGGGAGATGCGCGGGAGACTCGGGGCTGTTGCAGTGGGGGTCTCCGCCTGATGTCAAGTGTCAACGTGTCTTCAGTAAAGTGACATCTCAAGAGAAGTGTGACGAGTCGTCCTTACATACGCATTCACGTCCCATATTAGACTTCAATATCGAGGTTACTCGCACCTGTACCTAACATGTATTTTTTTCTCCTCTGGCCCCACTTGCTTCTTGCACGGCGTTAGCGCGTGTTTGTTTTTATCGATTCGCGTGCGTTTCGTTTACCATCGGTGGTGCAATATTCCCAAAGGACAGGAATATTCGACACTGGCAAAAAGGTACCATTTTTGTAGCTGCTCACCCCGAGCTATGAATATCTTGATAGTGGCATTGTCCTTGTATTGTTCGCCTCCTGGCTGTCTCTGGTGTAGGCCAATCAGTTTCAAAGACCATGCATCATATCAGAGCTCGTTTGTTTGCATGTTCACGACAAGTACGTGTGGTTAATGCAGACATTGCTTTCCAAATGTTTCTATTTGGCGTTCGAACATCATAACACCTCCTGTTTTATTGCCAGAAAAGGTAAAACCTCTTCAGATTTTTTCATATTCCTGAAGAACCCTGCACTTGTTCTGTCGCTACTGCTGTGCTCACACACCATAGATGTCCCGTGTAAAAAAGAGCCTGGAAACTGGCTGAACGGGTCCATCCGTGTAACAAATCAACTCGACTTTAATCGGGAGAATACGGTAAGTCGTATTCAGACCCCAGGGTCCAAATTCTACGGTGAGTTAGAGCACACACTGCACACACCTGAACCTGGCAAGCACCCCGTATTGCTCTCTGGGATCTAAAACACGACAGCGGGAGATTGGTGAGCGCGTGCCATTTATATCCCATGCATGTTGACGTTTCCATCAATGTGTGTGCGCTATTCAAAAATGAGGAGCGGTGGTGTAGCGGTTAGCGCTACGCTGCGTTACGAACCCGGCGACCCCGAGTTCGATTCCCGCTCACGGCCAACTCCGGGGGCGAGTATCTGAACCGGCCCTGGGCCTCCCCTATGTCGACTCAGCCTAAACAAAACGAGTACCTGGTGCGGGGTGTAAACATCGAGAAAAAGACGGCCTGGCGTGGTGCTGGCAATTCTCCCCCTCGTGGGCAGTGCTGGCCATGATAGGCGCTCGCTAACAGCACTTAGCCCAAACGTCCGTCGAAGGCTATATGGGGGGAGGGGCGGCTTTGCCTTTGTCCATTAAAACCTTCACCAGTTATACTCCAGCGGCCTCGCTAGAGGGGGCTATTGGCAGCGACTTTGAAAGTTAATTTAAATCTATACTCTTTGGTTCTTTCGGTAAAGTCACGTAGGTAGAATAAAATAAAATTTAAAAAATATATATATAGTAGGTAGAATTAAATGCAACAAAAATAATATATGAAACATATATTTTTTGTTTTATTTTAAAATAATATATAAAATATATATTGTTTTATTTTATTTTAATCTGCCTAAGTGACTTCACCAATAGAAGAAAAGAGGATGGATGCATATATGCTGGCCAACAACACAAGGCGTGTCAGTCTTCGTGCGAGGACAGAATTTAAATGCAATCTTCATTTGAAGCTTTCGTGACTACAGGAATCCATTTTGAAGTTACTCGCCTACGCTGAGTGGGCCCTATAGGGCCCTATAGGGCCCACTCAGCGTAGGCGAGTAACTTCAAAATCAGAGCTATCGCACTTGTGGGATGATGCGTGATATCCTCTTACAATCTCCAGGGACACGTTTGAATTCAGAGGAGCGCTGTCATTGCTGTGTGTGGCTTGCATCGTACGGATGTCATACAGCGCTGCACGAGAGGTTCGTATGATAAAATAATTAGTTTTACCTTTTCTGGCAATAGAACAGTTGTGTTAAGATGTTTAAACGACAAACAGAAACATTTTGCAAGGAATCATGTCTGCATAACCATACATACTTGTGGTCAACATGCAAACAAAAACATACTCTGGTAATATATGCATTGTCTTTAAAACTGATTGGTCCACACCAGAGACGGCCTTCTTCATGGCCCAGTGTCAAATAGTGGTATGAGTTGAGTTGAGCTTGGTGGACCTTAAAACGTCAAATTTATAGTGTTGTATAGGATTTTAGCTTGTAGCTTTCTACTTTACTGTTATCGAATTCCTCTGATCCATCGCGATATTGAAGGCACTCTACACACATCCTTTCGGAGCTTGAGAGCTTATCATCTCCCGAGTGGCCGCAGGTAAGAGAGATACCGTTTGTGGGTGCCACTCAGCGGCGGATACTCGCGGGGAACAGGAGCGAGTTCTCTCTTGAGTGCGGACTGCTGTTCCATCATCAACATCACTATCACCCGTGGCATCAACTCCGTCACCGTAGTCATCATCGCCATCGTCGATCCGCTGCTGGGTAGACTGTGGCCACAGATGGTAATGTCACAGATAAGATTAGATCAACGCTCTCATTCATAGGGACGCATTCCACGCGGGTGGGAATACTGATAGTGCGAACCTGCAAGGAATTTCACTTCACCAACTCAGGTAGTACGATCAGCAAAACTTTACAAACGGTATTCTTCACGATACATTTACCACTGAATATTTCTGTTACAGGCAGCAGCAAATCCACGTCAATTTCTATATTGCGTACACGTGTACGCGTGTGTACACGTGTACGCGTGTGTACACGTGTACGCGTGTGTACACTCTGGGGTCACCGCATTCAGTTAACCCATCGCACCTGGGGTCTGCTCCGTGGACCTGCTACCAGCGGCCCTTTGCCACTTCCCACGGCCTCACAGTGCACCTAGCCTGGCACAGGCGCGCGTGACACTCGAGTCCGTCGATCGCAGCCGCTGACCGCAGCGCAGCCGTCCCGTTGTGCGCTGCCCAGCGCCATACACGCGAGTGCGTGCGTGGGTGGCGAGTGCGCGGGTGGCGAGTGCGCGGGTGGCGCGTGCGCGGGTGGCGAGTGCGCGGGTGGCGCGTGCGCGGGTGGCGAGTGCGTGGGTGGCGAGTGCGTGGGTGGCGCGTGCGTGGGTGGCGAGTGCGTGGGTGGCGAGTGCGTGGGTGGCGCGTGCGTGGGTGGCGAGTGCGTGGGTGGCGAGTGCGTGGGTGGCGCGTGCGTGGGTGGCGAGTGCGTGGGTGGCGCGTGCGTGGGTGGCGAGTGCGTGGGTGGCGAGTGCGTGGGTGGCGCGTGCGTGGGTGGCGAGTGCGTGGGTGGCGCGTGCGTGGGTGGCGAGTGCGTGGGTGGCGAGTGCGTGGGTGGCGCGTGCGTGGGT